TTTTTTCACGCCTTTTTCACACTTTTTTTCACACCTTTTTTCACACCTTTTTTCACACTTTTTTCCACATTTTTCACACCTTTTTTAACGCCTTTTTTTACACCTATTTTAACGCCTTTTTTAACACCTTTTTTCACGCTTTTTTCACACCTTTTTTTACACCTTTTTTCACACTTTTGTCCACATTTTCCACACCTTTTTTAACGCCTTTTTTCACACCTTTTTTAACGCCTTTTTTACGCCTTTTTTACACCTTTTTTCTCACCTTTTTTCACACTTTTTCCCACATTTTTCACACCTTTTTTAACGCCTTTTTTCACACCTTTTTGCGCTTTTTAAATCGTTTTTTTCACACCTTTTTTCACGCCTTTTTTATACCTTTTTTCACGCCTTTTTTACACCTTTTTTTACTGATTTGACAAACTTGGTATGATAACAGTTCTGAACTGTTTATATGAACTTAATATGATTAAGCATAGAGTTCTATAGCAACCTTGGCCTGACTATTCTATGATAAAGATTTGGCATTTGACTGTAAAGATAGTCTTATAATAAAGATAACCTTTCTCAAAGGATGAATAAGCTGAGGACTTGACCTTTCTCAAGGAAATAAAAAAGTCTGCACAAAGATGCACTTTATACTTCATTGTATCTCATAATAGAACAGTATAGCTGGCTTATTTCATCTGGAATTAATTTTTTGCAGGCTCAAATCTACATGTACTAAAATTAATTCCACTAAATACAATGTATTGATGAAAATTTTGTAAACCACGAAAATAAATTAATTCTAATGAGAACCCTAAAACAAAAATTTGAGACCACAAAATAAATCAGCAGACTGTATTTGTTGTTATTTTGATGATGATTGTAATTTCCATAGGTTGAGACAAATAACCATCATAGCACAGGGTCATTGGCCGAAATTTGCCAAAAATGACTAGGAGAGAATTCTCTATTTTTATAATAATTATTTTCTGATACATATACATGTTCTTATGTTGTGTAGCAAGTTTGAGCTGATTCCGATTGAATTCAGATTTCTTACAAATTTTTAAAGTTACTCAAAAATCAGGTGAAAGTCCCTGTACTAAAAAATTTTAAAAAACAAGGCAAGTAGGATTCTGAACGACCAACGAAAATATGAAATGAAAATCCTACTCTCGTGACACAAATTCTACTCTATATTGTACTTTTAATGTTATTATGTAAGAATTACAAATCACCTTGCAATGTAGAGTAGAATTTGTGTCGCGAGAGTAGGATTTTCATTTCGTATTTTCGTTGGTCGTTCGGAATCCTACTTGAACTACTGGCTGAACAAAACGGCCAGTTCGCCGATTTTTGACTTTTCACTTAGACAAGGTCTAGAGCCACGCTAGCTGTACCATTGGAGTCCTCTGGTCAAGATAAGGTCCTCTAAGAAGTCTGGTAAGCATAGGATCTCGTTTTCCCGGTATAGCAAGGCTGCAAAAGTAGTGGCAGCCATTTTGCTTGGGGGTGAATCCTACTTAGTAACGCTACCGCGTTACTAATAGTACAGAGACTTTGGCCCAATTTTGGAACAACTTTCAAAATTTAAGTTTACAAAAAGGAGCTCAAACTAACCTTTTGTGTTTCTTGCCCCAGTACCACATTAGCAGATGTTACTGTTCCATTGTCGCTGACACAGACCTCAACGTAAAATGATTCTGTGTTAAGATAACACGATACACCATTAGCTGATCTCTGATTTGAATAATTGAGACTGAGAGAAAGAAAGAAGAGCATGATCTGTTTGCAATATAATACTGCTGGTAATGACAACTCCCTTCTTGCAGCAGTAGTCGCTGTTGTAAGTTCATTACGTACAAATTACCCTAAAGCATGAGACACAACTTACCCTAGTTTTGATGCAGTGTATTGGAGCCTTTGCTGTATTCCTGCTGGGGAGGGGTCTGAGGAAACGAGAGGAAGAGGAAAGTATAATCAAATGCTCCAGAGGTCTCTCAACCTTTTATTTCTTCTTGTAGCCTAACGATAACTTCTCTTAGTCTAGAGAGCACTTCTGCACCTTGAACCTTTAAACAAATTGTAATCATGCATAATAATAATTTGATATTTTTATTATTAATATTTATTTCTATAACTATATTTATTTCACCTGTATGGCTGTGTTTGGTGCTTGTCCCTCCGCCTGTTGCTGCTGCTGTCTTGTCTGTAGACATTTGTTTCTGATCAGTTCAGAGAGTTCTCTTATCCTCGACTCGTCAGACATGACACTTCAGCTCTGATCTATATCTATCTGTGGGTTGTAGACCACACCTAATCGAGATGAGCTTCCCACGCATTTTCATTTTTGTGCAAAAAAAAAAGTATTATTATGCTGATAATAATAATAATAATAATAATAATAATAATAATAATAATTGGAGTACAGGAGTTATTATAGTTCATAATTTATTAAAAAGCAAGTGATGTGGTGTCTCTGTGTTTCTTGAATTCTGTCACAGTTTTCTTTATTTTCAGGTTTGTCTCATCATCCAATTGAACACTGTCTTCAGGCAGCGTGGAACCACCTCTACTAGCAACACTCCATATCTTTAAAAAGAAAAGTATTAATAAATAATATTGTATGAAAGGAATGAGTTACTCTTCACCTTTTCTTCTTGTGTAAGTTCAGATGGTTCCTTCTCTTTTATCTTGGACATTGCAGAGTCAAATTCTTGTATTATATCTTTGGAAACTTTGCCAGCAGTCTGCACAGAAATTAAGTACATACTACATATGCATCTACATTATTACTGCTTACCTCAAACAATGAAGCCTCGTCAAGTTCCTCTACAAGAATATCAACTGGTTCTGGTGAGATATGAGCCACTGGGCTGATTCTTCCAGCCCATTTATCATCACCAGAAGCAGTAGCTTTTTGTTTTAAATGACATAAAAATGATAGTATCGTTTTTTTCTTACCTTTATTAACTTCCTCAATGGTTTCTATTGACTCCAGGCCTCTCCCAACTTGCTCAATCAGTTTTACTGCACCTCCAGTCTTTCTACCCTCTCCTTCTCCCCCTCTTGTTGAAAACAGTCCCACTTCTTCATCTAAAAATATCTGCTCTGCTACAGGAACACTTGGCTTTATAAATGGTATTTCTTCAATGACAAGAGGAGCATCAGAAGGAGGAGATGACAAAGAAGCAGTAACGTCCTCCAATGGCGGTGGGTCCTCTAATGATGCCGGGCTTTCTTCTCTCTCACCTTCCTCCATCTTGTTTTCCTCTTCATCCTCACTCTCTTCATTGGAGTCACTGATACTGCTACTGCTCAAGTCTGCTTCTTCTCCTCTAGCTTTGGCCTCGAGCTGCTTCTCTCTGTATCTTCTCTTTATTGCTTCAGCTCGTATTTTAGCAAGGCCTAAATGCAACATGATATAATACTATTATTATAAAATTGATTGCTTAATTGTAGTGAATAACCAGTAATGCTCTTTCTAATTTTTTCCTGCTCCCTTTCATTCCATCTCTGTCTCTCAGCCTGCTCCTCTTGTACTCCTCCTTTTTGCCTAATGAAAACAAAAACACAATAAAAGAGCTTTCTACTTATTTACTCTCTCGATCATGTACATACCATGCTTCTGCACAAGCTCTGTCCTTTGGAAAAACTGGCCTGTCATCAAGATACTGTAACTGCTCCTGTGAAAAAAAAAACAAATTAAATGCTATTTATTGAAATTGTTTATTTTATTATTACAATGCCGCAGATTAAGGATTTTCTGTAATTAGGTAGCTCCCTGATGACTTGGTTTGCCATTAGATTCAATACTCTCTATAACAATGGATAATAAGAAAGTACTGTATGTGTTAGCTGTATAGAGTCAGTACTTACCAATTCAGGCATTGCAAAGAATACTGATACCACTTGCTTGTCATCTAACCTGTTATGAGATATGTCTACACAACTATTAGTGTTAGAGGGAGGGAGAGAGAGAGAGAGAGAAAGCAAACCATCAATCAATAGGATCATCATTATATAGTTTCAATTAGACCTTAGACTAGAGCAGTGAACCAACTCTTCAATATCAGAGGCAGTTTGTATGTTATTGTGTGCTATCTGAAGTGACTTGAGTACAGGCAGGCATCCTACAGCACAAAATATTTCATGACAATTATAATATAACTCCACTTTTATGATACACTAAACTGTGAGCATTATACAAATAGGGCAAATAGTTGCTTTTTGTTGAGTACTACAGTGTATTTGTCATTACTTAGGTTTTCAATTTTTGTGATCATGTTGTTGCTGAGATTGAGTGTATCAAGTAGCTGAAGTGAGTCCAAGTTCTCTATCCTCCTGATTAAATTTTGATGCAAAAATCTAAGACAAAGAAACAAAAAAAGAAATTTAAAAACAAGAGAATTTCCAGTGCATAGCTATCAGACGCACAATGCCCTTAGCTCTGTCAAGTGGTCTATGTTTTCAATACGTAGGATACCATTAGACTCAAGCCATAAGCAACGCAGGCCTGTGTACTCATCAAGGTTCTCAATACGGGAGAAACCTAATGAATTATTCATGAGGAGAAGATGAGACAATAGTGAGTACCTTTAAAGTGAAGATAAAGGACATCATTAAGATATGGAGTAGTGTATAGCTTATTCTTTTTGCACAATTCCTTTAAGAATTTCTTTGTCATCCTGTAGAGAAAAGAGAGAGAGAGGAGATAAAGGTTTGCATTAGTATTCAATACCTAGGCCCAGTGTCTTTTTCTTCTACCTTTCTACCAGTTACACGATCACCAGTCGTCCCTGTACTACCAGTGACATGATCATTAATCGTCCCTGTACTACCAGTGACATGATCACCAGTTGTCCTTGTACTACCAGTGACATGATCACCAGTCGTCCCTGTACTGCCAGTGACATGATCACTGGTTGTTCCTGTACTACCAGTCACACAATCATCAATCGTTCCTGTATTACCAGTCACATGATCACTGGTTGTTCCTGTACTGCCAGTGACATGATCACTGGTTGTCCCTGTACTACCAGTGACACAATCATCAATCGTTCCTGTATTACCAGTCACATGATCACTGGTTGTTCCTGTACTACCAGTGACATGATCATCAGTCATTCCTGTCACATTATCATCATTTGGTTCAGTTCCAGTGCCAAGAGTCTCCTCCTTAGATACATTAGGTATCTCTTCATTATTGGTAGGTACATCACTATTATTGATACTGTCAATCAGAGTGTCTTCTTCTCCTTCATTAAAGCAGTCATTATCTAATAAAGAACACACTATACATACATACATTGTGCAATGACACTCTACCTTTATTTCCTTTATCTTCCTCCTTCTCTTCTCTTAGTTCATCAGTAATCTCCTCTTCTGGTCCTTTTGATACAACTACCCAGCCAGTCTCGATGGAATCAGACTCTCTTATATCTCCTATCTCTTCTCCTTCCTCTGAGGCTCTCCCTTCCACAGGAGGTGGTGGGCCATTATCCTCCATCATTAAAGATACGTTGCTTGGCAACAAGTGGGTGTGCCTGACACACCCCTACTTGTCTTCTTAGCTTGCAGCAGAAACATGAAAATGTATTTTTATTTTATTAAAAATTATTATTATTTATTATTGTTGTTTGTTGTAGATTAGTTGCTGGTGATATAAATGGAATGATTAAACCTTTTTTTTCAAGAGTACAGACGATATTGAGGACGTCTGGAGATTTTGATGTAGGCTTAAATTGATATCACTGTAGAAGTTTATAATATTAATTTGTGTAGGCCTTATTTTGTGTTGGCTCATTTTTTGCTGATACTCCAGACTGCAATCAGCATTGGGAGGATGTCAAAGAAGGCCTGAGAGCTGGTAAAAATTAAGAAAAAATTTGAAATTCACTTTTACATATCTGTCTCAGTTCCACTGCCAATTTACATTCTGGGTCCGAGCAATGCTGATTGTGAAAAATTTTATGAAGGCATCACATTTGATGGAGGAGAACTAGCTGAAAATATAACCTGTTTAGGTAACCTATAGCCTATTAATTCCGCCCACACTTCTTAATTCCGCCCACACTCCTTAATTAGGTCACAGAGGCGTATTTAAGACAGTGGAAGGACTACAGGTGGCATATTTGAGTGGACGATACGATAAAAACGAATATCAAAAGAAACACGAAAATAAAGACACACTTGTAAGAGAGAGGGAGGGAGGAGCAATTTAAGATTATTTTTTGTTTTATTTTAGCCATGTTTCTTCAGACAAGAGGACATTTTTGCATTATATCAAACTGCAAATGCTCAGGACTTTAGCGGAGTTGATCTTCTATTGACATCAGAATGGCCTCAAGGCGTCACCAACCACACACAACCACCTGTACATTACATTACATGTACATGTACACATTGAAATGTACAACTGTGTCTTTATAGGAATGGCTTAATGACGTTCGTTCTGGCTCAATTTCAATCTCAAAACTAGCAAGCTCCTTATGTCCTCGGTATCATTTTGCCGCTGGACTGGAGATTTTCTTTCAGAGACCTCCTTATAGGTAACGAGTACATGTACATGTTTACAAGTACGTGTAAATGTTTACGAGTACATGAACATGTCATGTGATGTAGGAATGAGAGAGCTGGCAAAAGAATGCATGGAACACGCTTCTTCGGACTAGCTAATATTGATAATACAAATAAGAAAAATAGAGTCAGTTTTATCATTTATATATTTATTATTTTATTTATTATTAGTATTTATATGCATTTTCCATCACTCCTATGTGTGAGATGAGCTCAGAAGAACTTTTGAAGCCCCCAGATAACATCACAGACTCTCCTTATACAGATTTAGTGAGAGCTGCCTTGTATTTGTAATTATACTTTTAATTGTGAGCATGCTAGGCTAAACGGCCACCGATTTCAGCTCGTGAGAGTGGCAGTGGGAGTGGTCTAGCTTCAAATTATTTTTATGATGTTAAAGAGATACAAGAGACCAGAAAACAGCAGCAAAGAGAACAGGATCGACTAGTAAGACAATTTGGTAAGTCAGAGATTGTTTTGGGATCATGTTTTGCAATGTTTGGTAGATCCTTCTCTGCCTCCCGCAAAGAGACGAGCCGTTCAGCCTCAAGGTCCCTGCTGGTTCTGTCTCAGTGGCCCTGAAGTTGAGAAGCACCTCATTGTGTCCATTGGGAATGATGTAATTTTATTATGATTATACAAAAACTAGCATAAGGGCATCAATATGTATCAGAAAATGCAATAAATGACATTTTTGATGTGCTTTGGTCTTGATCAGATCTTTCAAAATTTGTAAAAAATCCAATTTTCATTGGAATCAGCTCAAACTTTCTACACAACATAAGTACATGTATATGCATCAGAAAAATTATTAAAATGAAGAATTCTCTAACTTTAATTTTTGGCGAATTTTGCCTGTACTATAGTACAGGGCTGGTTTTGGCTCAAATTTTCCACATAAAATAAGAACATGCATAATACATGCATCAGAAAATTTAATAAAATTTCTGATATTTTCAGTGAATATATTTTTTATTTGATGTCTCTCTTTTAGTCATATCTTGCCCTCAGCAAAGGAGGACTGGTTGATGAACATGTACTTATATTACCAATCGGTCATTATCCTTCATCCATTGATGCTCCTCAGGTAGCAACACTATTGGTGCTGCTTCTGTGTCTTTATCTCTTTTATTTTTTTTACTCTAGGAAGTAATTGAAGAAATCGATAAATTCAAAGTTGCTCTCAGGAAATACTTTAGCTCTAAGAATCAGACTTGTGTCATGTTTGAGCGTAATTTCCGATCACAGCATCTACAGATACAGGTGGAACAAGGATTAGTAAAGGGATGTATGTACATGTACATTGTAGGTGGTTCCTCTTCCTAAGGAAATGGAGTCTGACGACCTGAGGCAAGCATTTATTGACTCAGGGAAAGCTCATAAGCTGGAGTTTGCTGAAATAGAAAGAGGAAGCGACATCAACAAGGCACATGATAAGCATTAACAGAACCACGGAATAATTAATAATTTACTTTTGTTTTAGATGGTTCCTTCAGGGGCTCCGTATTTCATGGCTGAGTTCTTCACAGGTCCAAGTCTATTTGCTAGAATTAAAGGAGGATTCTTTCCTATACAGTTTGGAAGGTATGAGAGAGAGAGAGAGTTATGGCTTGTAAATAATTTTTTTTGTAGAGAAGTGTTGGCGTCTCCATTGATACTAAATGTCCCTCATAAAGTGAACTGGAAGAACTGTGCTCTTGGCAAAGAAATAGAAACAAAGATAACTCTGAGATTCAGGGATAAATTCCAACCATTCGACTTTACTGCTGATGATGATGACGATTAGCTATTTAACTCCTTTATCATTGTTATTACTTTTATTTGTCATTATTTCATTCCAGGTGAATTTTTTGTGTCATCTCTTCAATAGATATTTTACTCTATTATCTCAACAATAGTAGATAATTATTATATAGAAGATTGCATGATTTACATAGCTAGTTTGAATTGAAGCGCCCCTAGAATGGGGGAGTGGGCCTACTGGACCGGAAAGCCTTTTACCAGATAAGTTTTAAGGTTCTGTTGTGACTTATACCTCGACTTATACTAATGGAGAAGCAGAAAGCAACCATAAAAGAGTCATCAGCAGGTAGATTTTGTAACAGTATTAGTATTGAAAGTCCTCCATTATCAGCAGCAAGCATAAAGCAAGACGAAAGCTCTACCGGCGGTAAGACAAATTAAAAAATGTTTTTTTAATTTCATGAACCATTTTTAGAACATGTAAACTTGGAATATACTATTTTTAAAAAGAATTTGCCTCAACTTAATGATATTCTAACAGGAAACCCTGAATTGATAATAAAACTGGCAATACGTCTATTTGCTGAGAAATCCATTACTAAAACTACGTATCAGAAAGCAGCCGATGTGAATCTTGGAGCTGTTGTTAGAGCATATAATCTATTAAATTCAGTTCTAACTGCATTGCAAACAAATCCTAATCGAAACGAGATATTCAAGAAATTATGTATATCATTGGATGAATTGGAAATAGATACAACTATGCTAAAGCATCAAGGTATGTAACAACTTTTTGTGATCTAGGTGCAAAGCCCCCAGGTCACTCCTAAGATTGAATTCACCCACGTCACGTGCAATCTAAATAATTGTATGTCAATAACTACATCAGTTTCATGCTGCTGGTTGAAACAAAGTTTGGAACTTTCTAGCAAAAAGAAAGAAAAAATAAGTCTTAGCGCAAAGGAATCCATGCAAAGTAGTGAAATCAATCTTAGGAGATATTTCACACTAATACCCTTGTTAGTTGTTTGTTAATTAATTATTTATTTAGAAAACACAGTCACAAAGACAGAAGGTAATTCTACTGTGGAATCACTGGAGCAGCAAGTTGCTGCTTTTAGCATTGATAAAAATCAGGATGATGCAGGACAGGGAAATGAATCAGAAGCAGATATGGTAGATGGTGGAGCTCCTCTCCCTGCTGTTCCTAGAGAGAGTGAGCTTATGAATGATGTTGCTGCTAAAGCTCCTGATCAATGGAAGAACATTGGCACAATGCTTGATATTCAGTTTTCACAATTGAATTCTTTTAGTATGCAGTATCATGCTGATCCAATGGACTGTTATCGTGCTGTTTTTCAACATTGGGCCCGAAACCAGTAAAAGCTGTCCTCCTTTCACTTGGGATACTGTTGTGGAGGTACTGGAATCACATGTTGTTTACAGATGTGATCTTGCTGCAGAGATTAGGAAAAAATACTTGTGACTTTTATTAATTTTTTACATGCACTAAACAATTACGACTTTACATTTACTTATACAAAGACCTTAACTTTGCGAACTATGACTGCAAAAAATTATGCAAAAATTATTAAAAATTATGATTGACAAAGATAACTCTCCATTCAATTTTACTGATGACAATTAGATATTTCATTCCTTCACTTCTTTACCACTATCATTATTATTTTATATTTTATAATGAATTTATTTCAGAATTAACAATTCATTAACTATAATCATTCATTTTTGTGGCATTCATAGGCTATTTCTGATATTCCATATTTGGGCTAGGCATCCCATGCATGACAGTCATATCACAGTCTCAGGTGATCCTTGATTCTTTGTCAGCTATTATATCTTTCTCCAATCATGGCCGTTTTTCTCCCTGTTGTAAGCTCCTTAAACAGCTCTAGACCAGCTTTGCTGGACCTAAAGATAACCAATTGGGAGTTATTTGCTGCTCACTTGCCCGGGGTGACTCAATCTCTAATACAGAGCATTGAGAATGAGTTTCCTTCTGAGCAGAGGCTAGAGAGATTGCTCCAATGTTGGCTTAAGATCTGTCCCCACGCCTCATGGCTGCATGTGTTGATAGCTCTTCTTGAGGCAAAAGAGAATGACAGTTATTGTAATTTACTGGGAAAATTGACATCAAAAAGGTAAGGCTTTGTTCTTTTACTGCCCCTCTTTCTTTTCTTTTCAATGTTCTATTTGTCCATGTGATCCTTTGTGTGTCTGTCCTCTTTCTTGTATTCTCTTTTCCTGGCTAAAATAGTGTCCTATGTCAGACCTAGTCTCACGTGGCCAGAGACTATGTCATACCATCAGTGTTTCTACTGTACTTTCCTCCTTCCTTTCTGTCTGTCTACTTTATGTTGCACTCTAAAGTTAAAATAATAAATAAATAAATAAAATGAACGTTATAAAATGTTTTTAGGAGCTGGGTGGCTAGCAGATCTCAAGAGGATGTTGTTGCTGATATCAATGCTCTTCGTAAACGTTTTGAAGTTATACTGAAAGAGATGAAGGATGCTCTGACAATTAGTGATATACCTTTGGAAAAAATAGTAAGTGAAGTTGAGCAGTTTCTGGAAATGGAGAAAGGAGGGCTGAGTCATCACGTATTCAACATTGATGAGTTATTCAATGAGCTTCAGCCATATTGCAATTATCTCAATTTTGAACTGGTCCAGTTTCTACTTCGATTCTTAAAAGGCACAGCTGCTACTACACAAAGTACTGTCTCATCAGTCATGGAATATGCAAAAAATTTACTATTGTTATTGCAATCAGCTAAATTAACTTTTGTAGTATCGGCAATGCGTACCCCAGCAAGCAGTAAAACAAAAACAACGACCCCAATCAAATTTAAGCTTAGTAGTGCCTGGTGGAATTATTCAGTGCACATTCTTCTTAAAACACTCGAATATTCTTTACATGTAAAAAGGATCTACTTTTGTCACATTCATTGGGACAAAAACCACTCAATACTTTGCTTGAAGGTCTTTCTCCCTAAATCATGTGAGCAGCAGCTTCAAGCACTCTTAGC